GCTGGCAGCGGCAGAGCCCATCGGGCCCTCCTTGCCCAGGGAGGTAGAGCAGGTGAGCAGCGCCCCCGGGTCGTGGGGAGGGATCAGGGCTGGGGAACACCCATCGCCTGGGGCTGACTCCCTCTCTCCCTGCAGGCAGAGCTGGCCCCACTGTGGGGCGCGGCTGGAGCTGGTGGTGACTCGGAGGGATGCGAGCTGGATGCAGCACTGGCTGCTGAGCTGCTGGAGCTGCTGGGGCCTGAGAGCACAGCCAGCACAGAGCCAGCAGGACCCAGCTTGGCCTCCAGCAAGAGCTCTCTGCCCCATCTGGGCACTGAGGAGGATGAGGCAGGGGCGGCCACACGGCATGGGGTGAAAAGGAAGAGGTGCAGTGTGGCGACGAGCAGGGAGCTGGCCAAACGCCGGGAGCAGGACAATGAGCAGCGGGTGCTGGAGCTGACAGCCCACAACGAGCGGCTCCGGGAGGAGATCAGGCGGCTCAGCGCAGAGGTGGAACGCACCCGGACTGCCCTCATCGACCGCATCGTGAACCTGCGCCAAGCATAGGCACCACCCTGCAGGCAGGGGGGCAAGGACTGCCAACCCCCTCGGACCTGGGGGGGTGGCTGTGGAGGGGCACAGCTCCACTGGCACAGACTGATGCTGTGGGACAGGCACTGCTTCCATACACAATTGTACAGTTTTTGCATTTTATTATACGCATGTAACCACCACCCAGTGCAGCCCAGTTCAGTCTCTGGGGAGCACTGGGGCTGCATCCTGGTGCTATTTCTTCCGCTTCCCCTTGGGCATGGGGACATCGGGGCTTTTCCCTTCTGCTAGTGCCAGCTGCTTCTTCAGCTCCAGCAGCTTGGCCACCTCTGTGTCCACCTGGGCTCTCTCTGCCTTGCTGGCTTTCAATTGCCGAACATGGTTGCCCTGTGGCAAGTGAGGGGGGCAATGAGGGCTGGGAGGGGGGGCACAGGCAAGGCAGGGCCAGCTCCCCCAGCCACTCACCTGCTTGGCCACCTTTTCTGTCAGCTCCTGGATCAGCTGATGGTCACCTGGAGTCACAGTGGTCACTGGGGCTGGAGGGGCCTGTTTGGGCTGTGGAAGGTCAGAAATGGGGTTGAGCCCTGGTCCCAGCTCCCAGAGCTCTGCATGCACCCCCCCACCACGCTGGCGTTGGGGGGAGAGCAGGCATTGCTGCAGCACCCCTGAGGCATCACCAGGTCATTACCTGGGGCTCTACGGGGAGATCTTCAGGCTGGGAAAGGAGAGACAGAGAGTGAGAAGAGACAGAGAGCAGAGGTGGAGGTGCCCAAGGTGGAGGAGCTGCAGGGGCAGCACAGCCCCCCACTCACCTGCCCCCCGCCAAACCGCTTGCGCAAGGCTTCAACCTGGTCGTTCTCCAGCTTCTGGAAAAGGGGGCTCACCTGGAGATGGGAAGAAGAGGGGTCACAGCTGCAGGGCCAGCACTCCCAGTCCCACCCTGCCCACGGCAGGGCACAGCCTGCCTTTCCCCCCTCCACCTACAGTGCCCACACGGTGCCCCGGAGGCAGGGTACAGGTGAAGCTGTGGCTGAGGATGAAGCAGTCAGGGGGGATGCAGAGCTGCCCCTGGATGGTCAGGCTGATGCTGGGCATGTAGGGCTGCAACAGGACCGCCAGCAAGGATGCCATGTTCACTGCCACGCCAGTCACCGTGCCTGCACGCTCCCTGGGGGGGACACAAAATGCTCCCGTCAGTGCCAGCCCCCAGCGCTCCACCCTCACCATCCCCTTGTCCCTCCTTACCTGTCCTTGTCATTGCCCTTGATCCGCTTCCAAGGCTCGTTCACCTGGATGTACTGGTTGCCGTGGCGAGAGATGCTGAGGATGCACCTCAGGGCATCGCGGATGCTGAGGGGGTACAGGGGGGCTGAGTCGGGTCTCTGCCCTCCCCCACACACAATTCAGCCCTGTTTCAGCCACCCACCGGACTTTCTCCAGCAGCTGGTGGTACTGGCGCAGCTCCAGGGTGACACGGGCCAACAGCCGCTTGTCATCCGCTGTCAGGACCATGTTGGGGACGGTGCCACCGAAGAACTTGCAGACGAACATGCCAGCTCTGGGGACAGGGAGAGCAGGTGTGAGCACAGCCTGGGGACAGAGACGGCCCCTGCCCCTGCCGGCATGGCCCAGAACCTGTTGATGAAGTTGCCCAGGTTGTTCAGCAGCTCCGAGTTGTTCTTGAGCATGAGGTCGCTCCAGGAGAAGGCACTGTCCTGCCCTTCGGGTCGCAGGTACAGCAGGTAGAAGCGCCAGATGTCCGCAGGGATCCCCGTGTCCTTGGCCATGTCCCCAAACACTCCCACACCCCGGCTCTTGGAAAACTTCCCATCCTCATAGTTCAGGTACTCTGGGGAGGGCAGGAGAGACCACATGGTGGGACCCAGCCCCACAGCACAGGGAGACACTACCAAATGCATTTCTGTTCCCATGTGGGATAGACTGGACTGTTCCCAGTACTGAGGGAAAGTGTGGAGACCTCCCCCACAACCCTCAATCCTTGGTGACCCCCCCAATACCTGTAGCAATAAGGTGGTTCACCAAGGTGTAGTTGTCATCAGCGCCCAGGAGTGAGCAGGGGAAGATGACGCTGTGGAAGGGGACGTTGTCCTTGGCCATGAAGTTGTAGAGCTCAACCTGGTGGTAGTTGGGGAGGGGGTGTCAGTGGAACCTGTAGCCTGGCCCTGTTCCATTGCCCCCCTGCAGCAGCCCAGGCTCCCACCTGCTGCGGGTTTTTCCACCACCTCTCCCACTGGTCGGTGTAGTTGGCCGTAATGGACAAATATCCAACGGGAGCATCAAACCACACGTAGAAAACCTGAGGGGAGAGCAAGAAGTGGGCAGGGGACCCCCAGGCAGAGCACCTGGGGACAGACACAGAATCACTTGGTTCCAAAGGATCATCGAGTCCAACCATACCCTGGCCACCACTAAACCAGCACCTCCTCTCCTCTCTATTAAATCCCCCCAGGGATGGGGACTCCCTCACTGCCCTGGGCAGACCCTTCCAGTCCCTGAGAACCCTTTCAGGAAAGAAATTTTCCCTCAGATCCACCCTAACCCTCCCCTGGCACAACTTGAGGCCATTTCCTCTCGTCCCATCGCTTGTTTTTTGAGAGCAGAGCCCGCCCCCCCTCGCTCCCCCCTCCTTTCAGGAGCTGCAGAGGGGATAAGGTCTCCTCTCAGCTCCTCTTCTCCAGTTGAACCCCCCAGCTCCCTCAGCTGCTCCCCAGCATTCGGCTGCTCCAGACCCCTCCCCAGCTCCCTTGCCCTTCTCTACGATCGAGGGGCCTGCTGGGACGCACCTTGTCACGGAAGCCATCGAGGGGTACGGGCGTCCCCCACTTCAGGTCGCGGGTGATGCAGCGGGGTTTGAGTCCATCCCGAATCCAGGAGCGAGTGATGTAGCGAGCGTTGGCCGTCCAGTCCCCCGTGGCCCAGGACTGCTCCAGCCAAGTCTCCAGCCGCTCCTCCAGCTTCAGGGAACACACAGGGACAGTCAGCGGGACCAGGGCTGCCACAAGCCCTCCCCACTTCCCCAGGGGCAAAGCTCACCTTGGGTAGGTCCAGAAAGAGGTGCTGGGTGGGTTTCACCACAGGGACACTCCTGCAGAGCTTGCACTGTGGATTCTGTCAGGAGGATGAACACTGTTTGGAGGGAGCACAAGACAAGGCTGGGGGTCCCAGGCAGAGCTGGGTGGTCCCCGAAGGGATCCTGTCCCACCTTCAGCTCCACAGCATTGATGAGTTTGCCACATTTATCACACTGGTCCCCCCGGGCCTCCTCATAGCTGCAGAAGGGGCAGGTGCCCTCCACAAAGCGGTCGGCCAGGAACCGCTGGCACTTCTCACATCGCAGCTGCTCCACAGTGTCCTGCAGCAGGAAGCCCCGGGCCAGCAGGCGCTGGAAGATGTCCTGGGCAATGCTGGGACAGGAGAGGAAGAGGAAGAGGCAGCCCCCATCAGCCAGGGAACCACAGAGCACCCTCAGTCAGGCATCCTGGGGGTACTGGGGGGCATTCCCCAGCACCAGCCCCTCCAGATGAGCCTCTGGGAGATGCAGCTGCTCACATTGTCTGGTGCGGCGTGGTGGTGCGGCCAAAGTAGTCGAAGGAGATGTTGAACCAGCGGTAGATGTCAGCGTGGATGGCGTTGTACTTGTCGCAGATCTCCTGGGGCGTCAGCCCCTCTTCCACCGCCTTGGTCTCGGTGGCCGTGCCATACTCATCCGTGCCGCACACGTACAGCGTGTTCCAGCCCCGCAGGCGGCAGTACCTGCAGGCAGGGGCCTGTGACACCCACACAGGTGTTGGGGGCAGCATGCTCCCCCCCACCCGATGATACCTCAGCCCCAGGGAGCTTTCCTTGCAGCCAGAGTCTCACCTGGCAAAGGTGTCAGCACTGAGGACACAGCCAATGATGTTGCCCAGGTGAGGCACGTTGTTGACGTAGGGCAGAGCGCTGGTGATCAGGATGTTTCTTCTGCCCTCCACGGGCAGCCTGGCATGGACGGGGCAATCAGAGCGGGCACAACAGGGCCAACCCACCCCAAAACAGCCTGGGAACTCCTGCCAGGCCCCTTGGAGGTGTGGGACAGCCCCAGTGTCACCCTGGGACTCACACAGGTTTCTGAGGGTCCCAGCGCTTGGGCAGCACTGCGGCACCACGGGCCCAGGCATCCGCAGCAGCGGCGATTTCCTCCTCCGTCAGGGCACGCTCAGAACCTTCTTCTTCCTGTGGGAAAGGCCAGACCCAGTGAGGGGCTGTCACTGCCAGCCCCACAGGGACCCCATCCCTGGGCCAGAGCTGCACCTCAGGCTCATTACTGGTGACTCTCTCCATGGCCAGGCAGGGCGGAGGCTGCTTCTGCAGGTAGGACTTGAACTCCAGCAATGCCTTGGGCACCAGAACGGAGTCAGCAGCTTTCCTGCAGGCCTCTGAGAGCGTCATGCTCTGGAACCAGGTCCTCAGCATCTGCAGCTCACCTTGGGGGGTGGGAGCAGAGAGAGCAGCATGATTCTCACAGCCACAGGAGCACGAGGAACCCCTCGGCACCCCAATTGCCCCCTTACTTGGCAGGCTGGTCTCATCCTGGAGGACGGGGAACAGG